CATTCAAATTTCTTCTGTTTTCCTGACTCATCCTTCTGGGCGGCCGACCTCATAATTTTGAAGAATGGTAAACACTTGTCCGCTGACCTGGAGATAAATCGATGCAGAGTTGCCACCCTTCAGTCAACCTCTATATATCTTTAATTGACTTCAGCGGTTCCATCTCGGCAATTGCTCTGATCTTCTCTGGATTGACCTCAATCCCTCTTCGGGACACCATGAAACCTAGAAACTTTCCAGACTCCACTCCGAAGATACACTTGGCTGGGTTTAACCGCATCCGGTTCTTTCTGAGGTTGTTAAAGGTTTCATCAAGGTCGGCTAGATGATTTTCTGCCTTCAGACTCTTTACTACGATGTCATCCACATACACCTCCAGATTCTTGCCAATCTGAGCGTGGAAGACAATGGTTACCATTTTCTGGTAAGTAGCACCTGCATTCTTCAAACCAAACGGCATCATGACGTAACAATAAATTTCATCGCCAGCATAGAACGCAGTTTTCTCTTCGTCTTCTGGAGCCATTGGCACCTGGTGATACCCCGAATATGCGTCCAAGAGGCTTAACCTCTCATTGCCTGAAGCCGCTTCAACTAATTTGTCAATGCTCGGCATTGGATAGCAATCCTTAGGGCAGGCGTTGTTAAGATTTGTGTAGTCAATACACATTCGCCATTTACCATTTGCCTTCTTCACCAGGACTGGGTTAGCCACCCATTCACAGTAATCAACTTTCCGGACAAAACCAGCTTGTAGGAGTTTCTCTACCTCTTCTTTAATAGCCTGAAGCCTCTCCCCCCCGAAGAGACGCCGCTTCTGGGCCACTGGTTTCTTCAATGGGTTGGTACTGAGCTTATGTTGACATACTGAAATTGGAATTCCTGGCATATCTGCCGAAGTCCATGCAAATACATCATTGTTAGCTCGGAGAAAAGCTATCAGCTCTGCTCTCTCCTCCGGATTCAATCTAGTTCTGATCTGCGTCTTTCGGCTTGGATCTCTGTCATCAACGAGCACTTCTTCAACATCTTCGACCGGAGCAGCTCTGGTTTCATCATCTGGTCGATTATCTATGATCTCTACACCCATAACCTGCTGATTATCGGGAATTCGCTGGGGAATAACCTCGGGTGTCTTATCTTTGCCCTTCGTTGGTTGTGTTACCGAGGTGATATAACAGTGTCTGGCCACCTCCTGATTTCCTCGCAGTGTTGCTATTCCCATAGGAGTGGGGAATTTCATGCAAAGATGAGATTGGGAAACCACAGCTTTGATTTCGGTCAATGTGGGTCGGCCAATAACAATGTTGAAAGAAGAGGCCATTTTGACGACGAGGAACCGGACTGAAGGGGCTACATAGGTCCGACCACTCCCAAAAGCCACATGGAGGGTAAGAACTCCTTCTACCAGAACAGGTTGGTTGTTGAAACCATAGATAGGACCATCATACTTCTGCAACAATGCTGGGTCTAGTCCAAGACTCTCGAAACAGTGGAAATACATAATGTCTGGTGCACTCCCGGTGTCAACAAGGACACGCTGTACTTCACAGTTATTGATCATGACAGAAGTGACCAGGGGATCATTGTGGGGTGTAACAACTGTGTCGAGGTCAGCAGATGTGAAAGTAATGGGTTGATTCTTCCATTCAGCATCGTCAAGCTTTCGCTTCTGAGCTCGGTTTTGGTGTTTAACCTCTCTAACATACAGCTTTCGCTGTTTAGAGCTCAGTCCACCTGCTTCAAGGCCTCCCGTAATCATATGTATGATTCTAGCCGGTGGTGGGAGCGGAGGTGGGGCTTGCTGATATCCCACACCTTGTCTGTTTGGGGGATTGCGGACTCCTTGAGGCTGCGGCCTCTGCTCTCCAACAAACCGCGGCTGTTCAGCTCTTTGTACATACTCATTCAGCATTCCCTTCTGAGCTAAACTTTCCAGTTCGGACTTTAAACTGTTACACTGCTCTGTAGTATGGCCGTGATCTTGGTGAAAATCACAATATCTGGTATGGTCTCGACTAGCAGCAGCAGTTCGCATTGGGCCAGGACGTCTCAAATCCATCTTATTTTTGATTTACATAAAAATTTGTGACCTCGGCAAATTAAATGGAGTTCAATTAACTAGAGGTTTACTTGGAGATTGTTGTGGGGGCGTGGAGTTCGGCCTTCCGAATCTCGGTGGGGAGGTCAACATCGGACCTCAGTTCTGTGCCATCCTCATCCTTGTCTGGCTCGGATTGTCGTCTCTCCACTCTGGGTTCTGGTTCTTAGAGGGGGGTGGGTTTTGTGCCAGGGCATACTCCTCAGCGGTTATAAACTTAAGAGACCGATCATTCACCTCGCTAAAGGTGGTGGCAGCATGTTTGATCAAACTGTCTCTGAACCTATCATGTTTGAGACCAGCGATTACAGCCGCAATGCCCACAGCTTGGTCAAAAGAACTAACCTCCAATACTGCATCATTGAACCTGCTCATGTAGTTCTTCAGAGATTCCCCGTCCCTCTGTTTAACCCTCATCAACTCAGAAGTAGTTTTCCTAATCAACCTTCTACTGGAAAACTTAGTGGCAAAGGCAGATGCCATTTCTGTGTAAGAGCTGATCGACCTCGGAGGTAGACTGTAATACCAAGTTCGAGCATTACCTCGCAGAGTAGAGGGGAAAATTTTGCACATTAACGCGTCAGAGGCGTTCTGAGCTTGCATGCAAGAGTAAAAAGCGTGCAGGTGGTCATCGGGATCCTTCGTCCCATCATAAGTCTCCAATTGTGGTATTTTGAAGCCAGTAGGATAGGGTTCCAGCGTGATGTTGGTATTCAAGGGGTGAGGTATGGAGTTAGTAGCATGGCGTGGGGGTGGGGCACCTCGGTGTTCAGCTACCAGCTTTTCTAAGCTATCAAGGCGGCGGGTAACATCATCAGGGATGGGTTGTTGAGCGGGTGCTATGTGGGATTGATCTTGAGATTCACTAACAGCGGGAGCAGGTTGAACCAGTTGGGGATTTTGTTGTGGAGCTGGGGGTTGTTGAGCAGGGTTTAGTAAATTAATGAGGGGATCACCAGGATTATTTCTAGCTAAAAGCTGAGCCAGTACCAACTGAAAAACACCAAACTGCTACTGCATGGCAGCAAGCTGAGCAGTCACCACGTCTTGGTTGGCAGTGGAAGTTGAATTGTGAGCTGAGACATGAGGTTGATTTTCATCTCCTCCTTCTACATGATCAACAGGAGGGAACATAATTGGGACCTGAGGTGGAAGCTGAGGTGGTATCGGAGGTGGAAGGTTGTTGGGGGGTTGACCTTGCCCATGAGGCAGAGATGAATTGCCAGCTCGGATTGATCGAGTGTGAACCATGATGGAAGAGCAACTAGAAAGCTTTCAGTTCGATTCCCACAGACGGCGCCAATGTAATTGCACCAAACCAGAAGTTCTTCTCCAGTCCGCGCTTGCACTTCGGGATGACCTGCAAAGCCCCGAGGTGGAACTCGGGGTAGACACTCCGATGCTTAAGTCAGCAATAATCGGGGCTACCTTTAAGGCGGAGATAAGAAAAGCTTAAGGTTGGTTTCAATTACCTTTTTGACGTGGCCCGGGGGGGTATTTATAGGATCCACTGAGGAACCCACGTGGCATGCCAAGCAAGATAATCGGAGCCTGACGTGTTCATCCAGGCGATTATTCCGGGACCGGGAATTTGAGAGGTATTCAGATGCACAAGCGTCCACCATACTTGCTGTGCCACTCATCATAAGGAATCAGGTACGGGCATGCTTATTGCCATTGTCATGCAGCTATTTGAGCGGGAAGCTTTGGATTTACTCCTCACTTCGGTCATAGAGGAATTACTGTAGCAGTCCGAGGCTTGGCACCTCGGACCTGTCCTTACA